GAGAGAGAGAGAGAGAGAGAGAGAGAGAGAGAGAGAGAGAGAGAGGGAGAGAGAGAGACGGAGAGAGAGAGACAGCAGGCATGCCTAGGTATCCAAACTATATGTACCTGACTGTTGGCATTGCTCAACTGCTTCTGCATCTCTTCGCGGGCATTTTGCTCCTCCTCCAGCTGATCATTGAGAGTTACTACTTCAGCCTGTGAGGCCTTTAGCTTGTGTGTGACAGCAGAGAGACTAGCTGCATCTTCCATCGTTGACTCCTGAACAATGAGAATTAAAAACAACAGCAAGGAAAGACAAGAATGCAGCACAATACCATTTTCAGCTCCGAATACATTTTTTGTCCCTCAGCTATCCCTCGGCAATACTGTTTCGAATACGGATATACAGCGTTGTTATCATACTGGCTTTTGAAAGTAGGTGGCAGGTGGTGGTACTGGCCATAAACCTGTGGTTAGAATCATGCACTGGTGAAATGCTGTCGAGGACAGGTTGGAAACCGTTGCATAGCCCGAATACACAAGAAAACAACATGGGTTTAGGAGTATCATCCACGTCTGCAAAGACTTTCAAATACCAGATATCTATTAGTAGTAGGTGCACGGGCCACTAATCGTGTCCACAGCTGTACATAGCGTGTGACTTGCGAGTCAAGGACGTGGCGTGATCCAGAAGCCAGATTTAAACCAGGCCCGAATGTACCTTGTCACAGAGTGCTCGAACTGACAAGTCAGTGAGCTCTGCATAATGCAATCAGCAAAGGCACTACCCCACATGTGAGTTCCAGTGTACTTGTGCATGCTATCCCCACCCACAGCAGTTGGAAGCTAAGCTTACCCTGAGCTCATTGAGCTGGGATTCCAGCGCATGCTTGCCGCGCTCCAGGCTAGACACCTTAGACTCCAGATCCACCAAGTGAGCATTGCTACCTTCAAGGTCAGACTGAAGACAAGAACACGAGAACAAAAAACAAAGACGTCCACATCACCTGAGGAGAGGGCATGAAAGTTTACTTGTGAAACGTTTCAAAAATGTCAGTGCTGAAGAACGTGAAATTTATGGTCTCACTCTCAGAGTTAAAGACGTCTACTTGAGCAAATACCCAGCCCATTATCAGGTTCATCACACAGTACACGTTAAAAGACAACACTCTCAACAAACGTTTTAGCGTTACGAGTAGGTGAGGTCTGACGCAAAGTGCAGCTGTTCATAAGGAGATGTGCTTGAATCCTGCTTGTACATGTAGTTGTACAAATGACACTCTGGGTGTTGGTGTACTCTTGGTGACACACATCTACTAGTAACTACCCGACGCTGACCTGTAGTTTGGTCTTTGTGGCAGTGAGCTCGTCCAGTTTCCTGTTCTTCTCACTGTTGACGTTGGACAACTCCATGTTAGCCTGTTCCAGGTTACGACGACGACGGTCGGACTCAATGCGAGCCGCCTTCTCGCTCTCCAGCTCGGACACCAGGTCACGGTTCTCATGCACTAGGCGATTCTTCTCCTTCTCCAGGTTGGAATTGGCCTAGAGTTGAACAGACAACAAACAAACATACGCACAAACAGGCACACACATAGACAGACAGACAGACACACACACACACACACACACACACACACACACACACACACACACACACACACACACACACACACACACACACACACACACACACACACAGAGGACAGGTTAGGTAGTTCAGTTCATGTACCAGTATAGCTGTAAACCGGGAAACATTTGAGGTATGGAATCGTTCGCGATTTTCGCTATGGGTGTGGAACCGCAAAAATAAGCCGACACAAAACGTTGACATGTAGGAAAGTAACTAAAGAAATTGACTCCAATCGCAAACCTTTCCAGGTGCAAATCCGTGTGTGTGTGCTCGCAAATTACTTACTAAAACAGGCATGTTTCCCTGTTAACAGTATCAAAAATATTTCGTATGTATTCACCCAAAAGCCAATTTTCCTTGTGCACAGGATGTTTTCTAGGTCCGTATTGTCCACCAGAACACAGATAACAGACAACAGACAGCAGTACTTACTCTACTCAGCGTGTTCATGTATACCAAGACCATGTCGTATGCTTTCACCACAAACTCCATTTCCCACTTTGAACAATGTACGGTAGGTGGTAGGCAATGTTCACCAAACAACAGACAACAGTACTTACTCAACTCAGCTGATCAGCCTCCTCCTGCAGACGCTGGATCTGAGAATTGAGCCTCTCCTTGAGCTCGGACAACGCGGCATCGTGCATGCGAGTGCCCTCCGTCACCTGCAGTTTCAGACTGGCTACCTCTCCTTCACGCTTGCGACGCACTTCCTCCATGGCGATCGTGCCACTCACTTGCTCGTCAAGCTCATTCTGAAGATTCTCCAGTTCCTGTGGGGGGGGGGGTGTAGAGTGAGCACGCGTGTGTGTGTGTGTGTGTGTGTGTGTGTGTGTGTGTGTGTGTGTGTGTGCGTGCGTGTGTGTGTGTGTGTTTGCGAGAGACATGGAGACAGAGATAGAGGCAGAACGTGAAGGAAAGTTATAAAAGAAGCATCACACGAGGCATGCGACACAACGTTCAGGAAGTCATTGATGATCGTCAATTCAGCTAGTTGCAATGAATTAACCCATTTAACGCCAAAGACGTACATATACATACACGTCATGAAAAATAACGCCCAGGCGCTGAGGACGTATATATACGTCTTTTTCAATGCCAAATAAGGAGTGCAGAGCCTGGTTGCCATGACATGTAGTCTTAAATGGGTGAAAGAGGAGAAGTGAACGGACCGATTCCAGCTGCTTGCTCTTCTTATCAGCGTCTCCTCTGGCGGGACGTTCCATGTCCAAATCTTCGTTCAAGTCGGCGATCTGACCTTCTAGCTCACGATGCTTCTTTTCCAGCTGCGCCTTGGCGGCACTCTCCTCTTCAAGCCTACAGATACCCGACACGCATGCCCACCACACACACACACACCACACACACACACACACACACACACACCACACACACACAAACGCGCGCACGCGCACGCACGCACGCACGCACGCACGCACGCACACACACACACACACAGTGTACAGCACCTTGTAATACAGCAGGACAAGTTAAAGACAACGTGCTGATTTGGCATGACGAGAAAAGGAACAGAGTACCCTATATGGACATAACCGGGCTTTGACAGCTGATGATTTACGCTACAGAGAAGATTCTAATGCTGATAGATATTTGTTTGTTTGTTTATTTAGAGTCGAAGAACAAACAGGCAAATTTTCCTAATTACATGATATCGACTAAAAAGGAGAATAAATTATAAAAGGCCAATGAAGGTAATGACACTGAGTGGAGTGGGTAGTAAAGTATTACGTCATTGTAAAAGCCAGTTAGGCCAGTAAAGGAAATAATAATACAGCGGGCAGTGGCATTACTGAAAAGCAGCATGTGCTGGGAGGGATCGCATGAATCGGTGGTACTGTGGGATTTTCCTGATGTCGGGCTGGAGCCTGTTCCACAGTGATACACATTGGAATGAGGCAGAATGTGTGCCAGCGGATGTCTTAGTGACTGGAAATTTAAGTGCTCGATTTCCCTGACTACGTGTAGCACGGCCGGCATTAAGAGGACTGAACATATCGGTAAGCAATGTGCTGCATTTACCCTGAAGGCAGCGCCAAGTGTAGCCAAGAAGCTTGTGGAGATATCAAGAGACACCACTGGTGTTCATGCTCACCGCTGGTTTGTGGAGGATAGCTCTCCTTCAAGGCGAGCAACAGTGGACTCCAGTTCTTGGATCTTCATCAGCTCTGCAAACAGCTTCTCCTGCAGCTCACGTGCTTCAGCATCCACCTTCTTCTTCTGCTTCTCCAACTCTTTGCGGTTCTACAACGCGAGGAACGGGAGAGAAAGACGGGGAGAAAGATTATCATACTTTCCGGAGTATAAGCCGCAGTCAGATTATTTCTTGCCACGAAATACAGACATCTACCCTTTTCATCACCGTTAATTCGATCGTCGGAGTATGAGCTGCACTCCCCCCCCCCCCCCCTTTGGGTGAATATGGAGTGTTCGAAGGGCGGATTATACTCCGGAAAAATATGGTACATAGCTGCAAAGAATGGACTCGGATGGAGAGCAAAGGATTAATTTATAGAAAAGAAAATGGACCAAGGAACTACAAACTATAATGTCCACTACCACCACCAGTTACTAAACAATCAGCTCATGCGATAACTTGTAGTTCCTTGGTCCATTTTCTTTTCTATAGCTGCAAAGGTAAAGGTTTAAATAGAGATTTGCATATATGCAGGTGGTTGCAGTGGTTCAGTTCAGCATGCTGACAAGTCACCTGTGAGCAATACTACCAGTAGGCAACATGATGTGGCTGAAAAGTGTAGTGGGTCATGCTGAGCAGATACATACATCACTGAGCAGTGGCCAGCAAACAAAAGAGAACAGAGCCAGAAACACACACACACACACACACACACACACACACACACACACACACACACACACACACACACAAACGCACATACACACACACCCACACACAAACATACATACAGACACGTAGATACACATACAAACACACACGCACACACACACACATAATAGGGAGGTTTAGTCCCACGTAATCCGTGGGTACTTTACGTGTGTGTACCACGTGATACTCAGTGACCCACGTACAGACGTTTTCTGATTCACGACATACCGTGTATGGAGGCTCACCCGCGTTCCGCCAGAACGTGGGTGAAAATCAGAATGGAGCGCATTGTGCGAGCTGTGAGGGTGCTCAGCTGAAGAAGTTTCCGAAGCACGAAATCAAAATATTGGATGAGCTTCTTAGGCCCGGGTAGATTCGTCTTTGACCAGGTTTGGGCCTTTCGCTTCATGCTTTTGTTTGTTCCGTGTGACTAAACACAACATTGCAACGTAGTTGCCCTTCACCCACTTTACGTGGATCACCCACGTAAGCGTTTCCGTTACGTGGGAACTAAACCTCCCTAGTATGCACACACATACACACACACACACACACACACTTGCAGGCTGAATGTACCTTTTCTTCGGTGCCCAAGCGACTCTCCAGGTCAGCTATCATGGTCTCATTCCTAGCCTTGGACTTGGCCAGGGTCTTGACGCGATCACTCTCGTCATCCAACGCCTGTGTGGTCTCCTTGACCCGCTCTTCCAGTTGCTTACGCTCCTTTTGAAGCTGTCAAACACACAGCAAACAAAGCAAAGAACAACTGAACCATGAACATCACAAGAATCAGTGTCATTGTTACCATTGCCAGCAGGAACAACAATGTCAAGTTTTCTTTCGATAGGAATGGTGTTGAGTGTGAATAGAGATAAACGCAGTTATCCATGTGTCTTTGATTGACAGCTTCAAGAACATGAAGAGCAACAGTTTACCCTGCAACACAAGTGAAACAATCATGCACTGAGGATAATGCAGGAAGAGAAAGGAAGACCTCAGGGAGAGAGGAGAGAGGAAGAGGAGGAGGAGGAGGAAGAAAAGGAGGAAGAAAAGGAGGAGGAGGAGGAGGAGGAGGAAGAAAAGAAGGAGGAGGAGGAGGAGGAGGAGGAGGAGGAGGAAGAAGAAAAGGAGGAGGAGGAAGAGGAGGAGGAGAGCCACCACAGGACAGGTCCATATAAGAGGTATACCTTGTTGAGTTGGTCTTCCTGGCGTTCAGTCATCTAATCCAGGCCCTTGACCTTAGCTTCTAGTGCAACATTCGCCAACACCAGCTTCTGGGCCTTTCCGGACTCTTCTGCCAGCCTACGCAACAAAGAAGAGAGAGAGAGAGAGAGAGAGAGAGAGAGAGAAAGAGAGAGAGAGAGAGAGAGAGAGAGAGAGAGCGAGCGAGAGAGAGCGAGAGAGAGAGCGAGAGAGAGAGAGAGAGAAATAGAAATAGAGAGAGAGAGAGAGAGAGAGAGAGAGAGAGAGAGAGAGAGAGAGAGAGAGAGAGAGAGAGAGAGAGAGAGAGAGAGAGAGAAAGAGAGAGAGAGAGAGAGAGAGAGAGAGAGAGAGAGAGAGAGAGAGAGAGAGAAGAGAGAGAGAGAGAGAGAGAGAGAGAGAGAGAGAGAGAAAGAGAGAGAGACAGAGAGAGAGACAGAAAGAGAGAGACAGAGAGAGAGAGAGAGTTTTAGTTGTCAATCACTGCTCATGTCGCAGGCATTGTGGCATAGCAATGTAACTACGAGACATAACAAGACCCAGGTCAGTCTCTGTACATTGACACACATGTACTGTAAAGTCTTGTATAAAAGCCGCACTTGAATAGAAGCCGTCCTCGAATAGAAGCCGCAATTTTGGGCCCATCAAATCACACATAAGCATGGTTTTAGTGTTGACATACATAGAAATATCTGTCTTGTATAGAAGCCTGTCTCATATAGAAGCCTGCAAAATTTCACCAAGAAAGTCATAGAAGCCGCGGCTTTTATACAAAACTTTACGGTAGTGCTCGTCACGGGTGACAAAAGTCAATAATAATAACCACAACAACAGAGTGTGTTTCCACGAGGCCAGGCAGCTGACAGGCGAGAAAACCCGTTTTTCCCATTTTTCAGCTTACTGTTCTTCCATGACGGTGATCTTTTCCTGCAGCTTCTTCTGCTCTGCAGACAGGTCCTTGCTGCGGTCCTCTTCCTCGTCCAGACGCATCTCAGTGTCGTGAAGCGCCTCTTTCAGGTTACCGCAGCACTGCAGCAACTCTGAGCGTGCCTGGAGCAGCACAGAGCGGGAGAGAAGTCAGTACACGAGCGGGTAATTAAACGTGGCGCGGGTCTTACAATTCAACGAGGACAATGCAAAAAAATAATGTTAAACTGTCCACCTGTCCTCCCCCAGTCCCTCTGCTCTTGGCCCACATTCAACATGCACACCCGCACCCACCCACACCTGTCTTGTGCGTGTCAGTTTTGCTGTGCAACATGGCATGCCTTTGATCATACTACTAGTACATGATTACCTGTGTACACAACAATAGCAGTGTACATGTAATGTGATATAGTACTGTCGGGTAGCGCTGAAGAACAGACCAGGCTAGAATTTTACCCTGGCACAGCATACCAATGTATACACGGTGACTCAACTGTGCATACACTGTAATACATGAAAACAAGAACAGACCACGCTAGCAGGCTGACCCGTAGTTATTCGGCGACCGACCGACCGACCGACAGTCCGGTACTGACCTCTTCAGCTTCGTTAAGCATGTCCTGTTCAGAGGTGAGTTGTTCATTGAGTTTGCTCTTCTCCATTGTCAGTGTATCCACTAAGTTACGCAGATTGTCCACGTCCCGGTCGCTCCGGGCCAGTTTGTCATTGACCGTCTTCAGCTCGACCTCGATGGCGCGGAGCTCGTCGTCCTGATGAGTCACATTCAGCAATGGCTTCACCTGCACTCATACACACACAGACGAGGAAAAATGAGTATCACACATACACATTACTACAGCCACCACGAGCACACCCACGCATGAACACACAATCAAATGATTTTACCACTTGGTTTGATATTAGCCAGAATAACAATTAGCATGTTACAACATCACCAGCATGCACACGCAGATGTCCACACAGACGTGCACAGACGTACACACACACACACACGTCCTGTACTGAACACTGCCATTTCCAGTCATGTCGTCTCCCGTGTGAGTGGCCGACCGACATGGAGAGGTTGGCTGAGGTACTATTTCGCCGTGATGCCTTAGCAAGATATCCTGGATTTGTCCTGGCAGTTGTTCAGCTGGAACCCCCGGAGCTCACAAGTATGCACACACCACACATACACACACACGCACACACACACACACGCACATACACACACACACACACACACACACACACACACACACACACACACGCACACACACACACACACACACACACACACACACACATGTACACACGAGAATATCTCACCTTAGTGTACAGTCTCCACCATGGCCAGCGACGCAGAATGAGGTAGGCTCTGCAGTTCCTCTGCACAACGTGAATACCCTTACTCTGCTGTACTAACTTCTGATAGTTACTGGAGAAAGAATCACAAATCAAGCAAGAGCAGCACAGATACAAAAGTCACACTATGATCATCACAGCTATCGCCGCAACCAAGAGTCCAAAACCCCAAGAGTGTGCAACTCTGTACATGGGGATCCGCTTGGCGGAATTCCAACATTACGTCAAAGATGACGTACATGTTCGTTGCGCTTGTACTACTCCCTGGTTCCAAGGACCGCGGAATGCGAAGTTTTGTACAGCTGTGCCTCAGCGGCATGACGTAATGTTGGAATTCCGCCGCGCGGGGGGCCTACAGCAGCCAGGCCCCAGTTGCACATTCTTGGGCTTATGGACTCTTGACGCAATGCTAACACTGTATCAGAGGTATGCCGTGGCAGAAACAGTTCACTCCTTACAAAGAAGGCTCGGTATATATCCAAATACATGTACACAGAACCTGTGGTTCACATACACAGACACACGCACACATACACACACACACACACACACACACACACACACACACACACATACACGAACGCACGCAGGCACATCTGCACACACATACACACAAACGCACACAGCACCAGCCGCCCATGCGTACTCAAGTCTCTACGAGAGGTCAGCGGATGTGGCAAGTGGGGTTTGAGCATAGACATCGCATCGGCGGCTTGGACTATCAAAGTGTGCTTAGTGGTTGGTCAGTGGTTTGATAGGCCAAGCCGCAGATGTGATGTCTCTGCTCAAACCCCACTTGCCTCATCCCCCGACCTCTCGTAGGGACAGAGACTTGAAACATACGCATGTGCACAGTGGCACAACATGACCGATGTCATGTGACCCATAGATGCAGGGGTTGAGTGGAGTTGTAACCAATATGGGTATCACGTACAGTGAAACATAGATGCAGGGGTTGAGTGGAGTTGTAACCAATATGGGTATCACGTACAGTGAAACATAGATGCAGGGGTTGAGTGGAGTTGTAATCAATATGGGTATCACGTACAGTGAAACATAGATGCAGGGGTTGAGTGGAGTTGTAACCAATATGGGTATCACGTACAGTGAAACATAGATGCAGGGGTTGAGTGGAGTTGTAACCAATATGGGTATCACGTACAGTGAAACATAGATGCAGGGGTTGAGTGGAGTTGTAACCAATATGGGTATCACGTACAGTGAAACATAGATGCAGGGGTTGAGTGGAGTTGTAACCAATATGGGTACCACGTACAGTGAAACATAGATGCAGGGGTTGAGTGGAGTTGTAACCAATATGGGTATCACGTACAGTGAAACCTGTCTAAGATGACTGCTCAAGGGACCTTCAAAAGGGCGGTCTCCATATCCAGGGTCATTTGACTGGAAATAGCATCCCTTGGTTCTGGTTGCAGTGGTCTTCTGGGACAGGTGGTCACCTTATTGGAGCGGAGTGGTCATGTGACAGGTTTTACTGTACATTAGTGTCAGCCCAAATTTGCTCGAGACTTTTCGATATTATGCCGCATAATTTTGCTGCGCTTCTTTCGATATTATGCTTGGCATTGCCGGGCGGACACGATATTTTGCTCTGAATATGCTCAATGACAGCTTCAAAAACGCCAAATTCGGACCAAATTTTGGAGAAAATTTAAGAAAAACATCGATATTTTGCTCGGTTTTCCTGGGTTCACATTTCAAAGTGTGAAGATTGACCTCACAATGCTCATCACCAAGCTGTACATGCACGTACCTCTGGCGCTGGACATGAAACTTCGAGTATCTGCAAAATCACGGTGAAAATCTCCAAAATTTTCGAAATTATGCTCAAAATATGCCGGGCAATTCTATTTCTAAAATCTTTCGATATTATGCCAAAAGAATTGCCGGCAAATTTGGGCTGACACTACTGTACATGTGTGGTCATGTGACAGGTTTTACTGTATATGTGTGGTCATGTGACAGATTTTACTGTACATGTGTGGTCATGTGACAGATTTCACTGTAGATGTGTGGTCATGTGACAGGTTTCACTGTATATGTGTGGTCATGTGACAGATGTGAAAACACTGTCTACGTGCATGTGTGTGAGAAAACAGAGGTCGGCAGTTTTCACTTGCCACTGGCATACTGGCTCTATGGGCACCCTGTAAGAAGACCTTAGTGTCTGTTGGGAATGCACAAGTAAAATTTATTAAAAAATACAGTACAGTCAGACCTCTCTTATCCAGTCCTCTGTTATCAGGATCCCTCACCATCCTGAAGAAAATCGCTGGTTACCGATTTACAGCATATGTCACGCATACATACAGTATGTGTGTTCGATTATCCGGTTCCCTCGCCTATCAGGATATTTTGTGGAAAACGGATGTGTGCGGTTAAGCGAGGTCTGACTGTATAACAATACAATAGTAGCTTGGCGTTAGCGGGGGCCCACACTTACATGCGGCTGAGAGTTCCTCTGATGCGTGCCTGCATGGCAGTGAGGATGGTACTAAGCTTGTTTTCCCTGTCCTCCTCCAGCTTGGCTAGCACACCGGCGCGGAAGAACACCTTGCTGTTACCCACGCGGCACTGATCCTTGAGCAGCTCCAGTGCTTCCAGCTGCACAACAGAACGGCACGCAACAGCACAATGCTAAGTGAACCTATCTTTTTTATTATTATTTTCTCGACCCACCCCCTCAACTTTGCTATCGGTCCTCTTTTAACAAATTGTTGTATTCACCACTGTTGAGGCTTCCAATGGAAAATAAAAAGAATGCTACTATTACAGTTCATCAGAATCTCCAGGATAAGGAATAACCCACGCCGACTAGATCCATCTGCTGGCACTACTCAAAGTGCGCATTTCTGTCGTGCATTATGGTGGTAATATGGTAAGGCCAAAACTGAAAATAAGCTTGTTTCGGGTCGGCATTTTGAATCATTGCAGAGGTTCCGCATAACAACTATGTTAGTAAAAAACGTAGTCGATCTACGGAAAGTCTTACGCAAACTGCATGCGGATCTGTGTTCCGTCATCCGGTGCTTTCAAATCACGTAGCTGCCCTTGGCAACTCCGAATGCAGCAGTGTACGATCGAATCGACCTGGGGAGAGAGTCGTAAATTTGTACCTCAATCCACTAAGGCGAGACCAAAAAAACCAGAGATTCCCGGGCCCTCCCGCACCAAAATCGAGCCAAAGCCAATTTTTATATTTATTTTTTAACAGTTCATATAATGTACATTACTTATCATGTGAGTAGATTTGTGACGTGGAGTCACACAAACCCGAGCTTGTACGACTCCCTCATGTACAGATCAGGGCCATTGTTGGCCGAAATACAGAAAAAATTGAATGGGTAAACCGCGTACCTGTTTTCCTCTGTCTCCATAGTGCGGACAGAACCTCTCTATTGTCTACTGGCTAGGTTTGTCGTGCATCCAATGTCATAATAACGAGGGTAGACCTGTATTTGATATGTATGTTTGGTCACAACAACAATCGACGTGAGCGGACCATTATACGAGTTTCTGCATGTACAAGAAATCCTTGACTCACCATCATCACAGCCGACCGGCGTCCGTCCATCAAGCCCTTCAGTATCAGGTTGGGCGTGAGCAGCTCGTAACGCTAACGGAACTCCTGGAACGGGACACGACTAGGGAAGCCCTGGCGGCAGATACGTATGTCCTCCAGCACTCCGTTGCATCGCAGCTGCTCCAGGATCAACGGCGGCACGATCTTGCCGGACTGCGTGGACAGGAATACACGGGTGCACGTGCACACACGAACAGATAAGGGTGAAGTTAAGAATACACGTGCACACTCACACAGGGACAGACAGACACGGATGCAGTTTGTCAAAACATTGATCATCCAAACAATGATGTGAATCGTCACGGTCGCAGCTCATCGCAGGTGTCGCATGCAGCGCATCACATAGCAATAAGTGGCATTCAGAATGAGGCGCCTACAGACAGGTGCCCATTTTGTCCTTACCTTCTTCTCGTGATTGGGAATGATACAGCGCACAAAGTTAGGATTGGTGTTTCGAAGTGTCTCCATTAGGCGCTGGAGTTGTTCCTACATGACAGAGGACAAGCGCAAACAAGATTGCAAATGTCATTGAACCAACAACACACAGACATAAGAACCAGAGCAGCAGCAGCGGTGTGTACCCTGTAGATGTGTTGCCCAACGTCTCACCACTTCAGACACAGGCGATAGCATGAAGAAAACTACAATAGTCATGTCATCCACCCCAAGTACATATGAACATTCGTGAAAAGGGAAGCACTAAAAGCCACTACATGCCTCGCTACTTTTCTTTTCTTTTTATTCTCCATTAATTTCCCCTGTTTGGTATTCTATCAGTCTCTCTTCATTTTGTAAATTAAAAAAAAATTTAATTCGACGGGTTCACGTACCGGGCAGGTCAAGAACAAGGAGTCGTACAACTTCCTGGTCAAGAACATTTAACCCGTCTGAAAAGCGCTTTTAAAAATGTATGATACAAACCCTGTGTGAATGGATGGTGGGCCGTTTTCAAGAGAAAATTGAGAGGTGTGACTTCTTGGGTTCCCTTTACTTATAAGTTATACAGTCAGATCTCGCTTATCCGGTCCTCTTTTATCCGGATCCCTCGCCATCCGCTAGATAATAGCTGGTTACATATTTACAGCACACGTGATACATCTAACATAAACAGTGTTCAGTTAACCGGTTCCCTCGCCTATCCGGATATGTTTAGTGGAAAACGGACGTGTGCGGTTAAGCGAGGTCTGACTGTATGCCAATGGTCACAATACGACCTGTATATATACATCAGTATGGATTTCTGAAGTAAGAACAAGATTTGAGTGAGAATCAGCTATAACCCACTGACACACCCAGACAGAGCGGAGTAAAACTGAGAGTTCTAAGTTCTTCTAGCGTACCTTGTAGAGCTGTCCGACAGTGCAGAACATGCCTTGCGAGGCCGTGTACACGCCGCATCGCCCATGTTAGCAATACTGGTGATGTTTGCTGTACCGTATATGCATACAAACGTACATAGACCATAACCACACACACACACACACACACACACACACACATACACGCACACACACACACACACACACACACACACACACACACGAACACACGAACACACACACACATACACGCGCGCATGAGCGCACATGCACACACACACACACACACAATCACCATCACAAGGGCACGCACACACACACACACGCACATCCACCCACGCATGAACACACATTCAAATAATGTTGCTCCTTGGTTTGATAATGGCCAGAATACCAATTACCATGGTTACAACAACTGGTAATAGGTGTCACAGTTCTAATTGAGCAAGTCTCTCATGGGTAGGTTGTCAAGCTGCTCACCCGAAAGAACTGAAGAGTTCTATAGCCATGATTCTCAAAGCAAAACCAACAATTAGTCGGCCAATGCTAGAATGACAGTGCTTTATGCTGGCAAAAGCAGTACCTTAACAAACACAGAGTCCAGCACCAACTGCAATAGCATGACTACCACCATCACCACCACCACCATCACGGCCACAGGTATAACAGCAGTGATGCGAGGCAAACCAATTCCAGCGAAACCACATCTGCATGCTCTTAACCCCACATCAGCAGCAACATTGACGATACAAGACATGCAGCTAGACAGCATTATCACCAATAGCAGTATCATCACCAGTGAAAGCATCCCAAGCTCGAGTATAAGCAACTTACAGGTGTCCTTCCATAGGTTGGCACAGAATGGATCAGCACAGTTCTGCAGTAGGGACACGATATTGTCATTGAGTGGATCCATGTTCTTGGTCAGCCAGCTCTCAGCCACGTATTGCACTTTGCCAGCGTAATGATTCACGGTGAAGTCAGCCTTGCTGCGGAAATCTGGCTTCGACATCTTGTCGTGCTTCTTCTGCTTCTGTAGAAGCTTCTCGACAAACGTCCTGTCAGTGGCTTTTGGGGAACCATCATTCCTCGTCCAGCAGGGATAGCACTTCCATTGGCTGCAAGACAAAGAGAGAGAGAGAGAGAGAGAGAGAGAGAGAGAGAGAGAGAGAGAGAGAGAGAGAGAGAGAGAGAGAGAGAGAGAGAGAGAGAGAGAGAAAGTGCGGACTATTCCACGATATAAGCTACAACAGGTTCTACTGCACAAAAAAAGTTCAAATCCCCTGGATAGTAAAAATCAAACAGTACTCCACACCAGGAAACAGGAACCGCTCCTTCAAGACCGACAGTTCAAGTCCAAGATATCAAAGGGAATTATGCCTGATACTGTGCTATTTACTACTTCACAACGTACATGCCAGGCATGCTCTGTTTTAAAAGTTATCAAATGTGACACCCCCACCCCCACCCCTACACACACTCACACATATACACACGACAGCCACTGGATATAAATCTCCACAAAGTTACAAAGTTCCCAGAGTCTCATACCTTCTCAATGAGATCAATGCAAGGCTGCAGATCCAATCCAAAGTCAATGAAGTTCCACTCGATACCCTCCAAACGGTACTCTTCCTGAGAACACACAAGCAAAAACAGGGAAAGAGGAAAAAGTGTAAAGCATTAGAGATAACTCATTGGTAGCGTCCCTAGAACAAAAGTGGATGAGCGCCAACCAACAACTGTACACGCACTCACAACGGCATAACCACTCGGTATCAATAATTATTTACAAAACAGACAGAATGTGTGAAGCCACAATGCTAGGCAGCATGTACACATAAGAGAAGACGTGCAAAGTGCAAATAGTACAGGGCGAGCAATGGGCGTGCAGTGTGCGTGCAGGTTTGCTGGTGTGGACGCGTTGCAGTGCAATCAAATTGTGCCATAAGTGGAATGACTGTACGGAGGACAGTACACCTTGATCTGGACAAAATCTCTGCGTGGATCAGTGTGATTTCTGAGGCATACACAGAGATAAGCATGGTCTCTCTCTTTCTTTCTCTCTTTGTCACTGCCTCTGTCTCTCTGTCTCTGTCTCTCTGTGTCTCTGTGTCTCTCTTTCTCTCTCTACTAACCTGTTCCAGAATGAACATGGTATGGTTGAAAAGCTGCTGCAGCTTCTCGTTCGTGAAGTTGATACACATTTGCTCAAAGGAGTTCACCTGTGCAGGAAAGATCAATATTGACACGTTTGCGCACGTACATTTACACACATACACACACACACACACATACACACACACACACACACACACACACACACACACACACACACACACACACATACACACATACACACATACACATACACACACACACACACACACACACAGCGACTTCGTTGATAACTATAAGAAGGTGGTTTGATCGCCACACTGCAGCTCACGCTTGTTAGTGAAGTGTGAAAACAAACCGGCGACTAAAGCGTGAGCGCGAGGGTAGCAACCTTGTCACGAGCATTGGTACATGAAACCCCTCAGCATGCAGTACAATGCAATGCCCGTTGTGTCCAACAGGTTTGTAAACACTCTGTACAGACTACACCCTTGTTCAGCTGTCCATAGGAAAGAGTTTTACAAAATCCGTTGATTCCCAAACCTGCTGAGAGTGCTCAATGGCATTAACAGAGCTTAGAAAATAGCGAGAAATATGAATAAATACTATACTACTACTACTATTACTAAGCTTGGTATGCGGGTGTGACGTGCTGCTGCTCATCAGATTCGGTCCATGCGACTCTCGTGTTATTAGTTTTGTTATTTCGTCTGCCTTTTTTGAATTCGTAAACCAAACGGACTCAACTATCCAGTCATCAGGTACTGGTGTGCTGGGACGAGGTTTTGTTGGTGATGCTGCTGTCAGTGGTGGCGGCGTGCATGTGCTCGTGCTTGCGGGCGATGGCCCGCGTTTTCTCCCATGCCGCAAGTTTGTCTTGCGTTTGTGTTTTGCATTTGGACTTCCTGCCAGGCTTGGAAGGCTTGCATTTCAAACAGTTTGTCCCACTGTGTGGCTCCCAGTCTTTGAGCGGTGGAGCTCCAGAGAATTTTGGGCCCCTGGCAGTAGCAGTGCATTCCATGGCCAATTTGCAATTGTGGCAAAAATGTTCAGGGTGCATTTGGTTTCATCCACATTGAGATGAAAGTTAACACTGCCAACATGGATTCAGTATGATCTGCCACACGATACTTCCTCCGTCCACTCCTTGACGCGAATTTCTCCCCTCCAATACGACAACACGACGACAGGATGCTAACACGAGCCTCCATTTCTGAACACAATAACGTCTCTAAAATGGCCACGAAAAGCTACAGTGATGCACGTCAAGCTTAAGAATACCCGAAATCGAAAGGCTAGGACATCGAGGTATACTACAAAATTGCCTGCGAGGCGGAGAAAATTCGCTGACGAGGTTGGCAAGTCGAGCGAAATTGCAAACATACGACTAGGCCAGGTCGCGTAAAAAATGAAAAAGATAAAATTTGGCCGCCATATTGAATGAACGCGCGTCGCATGCATGGGACAGCCGTGGGTAGAGGCGACGGTTTCAAATAGGACATAGGTTGCAAACCGGAACGGACTCAATATTCACTTTCTCTCTTGGTATTTTGATTAGAAAACATATGTCACAGTGAGACTACAATGTGTTATACTCCCAGCCAAAATTTCATGGCTCTGCAATGATCAGAAGCGCAATACCAAGCAGGTGAGTTTTTGACTTGTTGCTTCGCACTGCGACTTGAGTTTTACGACTTTCGAAAAATCAACTTCTTGTCGCAGGTAAACAGCGGCTCGCCTCTCGCCAATAAAGCACCGCCATACCAATGAAAACTAATGGAAGCACACACAAGGCTTATTGTTGCTCTGTACTGGCCGTCGTGGAGCGATAGCAATTACCTAATTTCAGAAATCAGAGTGAATTTGACGTGCACTCCAAAACCTTTCCGGTTTGGAGCCACCTCTGATTTGAAGCGAAAAATTGGGAAAATTGGAGGCAATGGGTCAACACAAAGGAGTGGCTCAGTTCGATTGACTCTGGCCTCAGAGCAAACTTCAACATGCCAGTTTCCTTCCACAAACATATTTCGAGTGAACAATCAATGCTGATGATCGGTTTGGGTCTATACAAGTTTGGCTGTCAAGCCGTTCCGGTATTGAACCGTCGCCTCTACCGCGTAAGGAGACCATAGGTCTGTGGGGACTGCCCTAGAGAAATATGAATAAATACTATACTACTTACTTTATGCTGACCTTTCATACAAATTTCCAGTCAACTGCCCCATCATGCAGGTGGTTTATATTGGGCCTATAAACCTCATACCTCATACAAACCCCATATAGACCATCAGCATACAAACTCCTTTTTAGACACAGGAAGAAGTTGACTGTCAGTTTGTATGAAGGTCAGCATAAGTATAATACATCCCACTAGTGGTAGTATGTGGGTTTATATTTCACGTACAAGCGTACTGTTGGGTTGTATCATATACATACTGTCGCATCGCAGTTTGCTACGCAATTCTTCTGAGGTGCAAAGCAACTTCAGAAATGTGTCGCAGATAACTGCGATGCATGTTGATTTTTCACTGCACCCAATGATGCACAGTGTGCATGTCAGGTGTGTCTCTTAGGGATGAGATTGATGCGCAAAAATAGACTTCGAAAGTGCTTATCTACGCATTTTGGCACCAGATTAGGTTTTGAAGAAAATAACTATGCAACATTTTGGAATTGCTATTCAAGATTTTGCATAGCAAAGGTGCTATGCAAAAAATTGAAAGTAAAATATTCCCTGACCCATATAGGGCAGAGCCTGTAATACCATTAACTTTCGTACTGCACATTGTGATTGTTGACAAGCAGCGCGCGGTGGATCAATATCAAACAAAGAAGTGGGTCACGATGAGTACTTACTGGGGATAATTGCGCGGCTTTGTCCCGGTCTCTCTGCATAGAACGAGCGCTCGGAACAGAATGTTGTCGAAGGCAAACCCATTGGCCGGCAAGACAGCAATGATTATGTACACAGGTTAGTGGTCGTCGAGCTGTGACTCCGTGCCAAAATCCGTCCACGTCCGCTACGGAATGCCGAATGCCGTTCGACCGAGTACCCACCGCTACACCACAGTGCTCGTACTACGGCAAAATATCCTTTCCAACATTCACGACGAATAGCGATGTCGGGGATGATTTTTTAAGAACGGTACGGCCATACGGTCTTCGCTTCCCACACCTTGATACTTGACTGACTGGCGACTGTCATCCAGAGCAAAGCGTCCATTGAACCAGCAAAGATCTCCGTGTACACGTAGATCTACCATCTGAAAGAAAGAAGAATTGGATTTTTCATCCAGCTCATGCGCGAAGAGTGAATAGCAACTACACTGTAATTTGTGTAAATAGAGCGACAAACCCCTCAGCCAAGGTGTGAGACTGTAAGATGATGGGCACGGGCCACGGGGCCGGGGGCGCTTCCCGGCTGAGAGACGCAGCGCTAAATAGTCGTAATGAGGTGACGCGACGTGACCAGGTGACGCTCGGCCTTGGCGACATCAGAGATCTAGCGCCGTCAAACTCGAAAGAAGCGCTGGTCTTGTTAATTGTTGTCGATTCGATGGACGGAACGAAGTAGATCTACATCAAGTCATCATACAGTAAAATGTAGATCTACTACTAGTACTACCGGTAGTACTACTAGTACTACTGGCACTGCCCACAGACCTCAGTGCTGTGAACTGAAATCCGACCCCCTTGGCGGTGCGGCGCGCCGCCAAGGGGGTCGGATTTCAGTTCAGTTGCCAGCATTGTAGTATCCATGACCATGCCCGTCTACCAATATTAACCATGATCTACTGATATGTAAGCATGTAGCCTTGTAGGGCATAGGCATAGTATTAGTAGACGGTGTCATGTCATCATGGTCATTGTCAGGACTTACTTGTGTCAGGTGTGACAAGTCTACCACGGTCGACTCTCCACTGCTCCAGCTCCTGAAGTCCCTGCGGCGCGCGCGACTACAAAGAGTTCGCCCAGAAATAAATAATTGAGAACTGGCACCAGTATCTTGTTTCCTAGGCACTTACTGCGCCGTCCCACGCAGTGCAGTCAGTGTTTTTTTGGTTTGATTACAGTGGGTAATGGAACAGGAAGGTTGTGTGGTGTTTGAGCTGGTCATTTTGTAATAATAGCGTTTTGTCACGAGCTCGTGCTAGGGAAGTGAAGACTCTTCGCGGCCATCACCGGACCGCGGAGTTGGAGAAGCAACTATCAATTGCCAGCTGCATTGTGCAGCATCGGCAGGTAAAGTTTACAATATTTTGGTGTTTCCTGAACATACCACATATGTACAGTGTATCCGGGAATGCATGCGCTGTTACCGCGGCACTAGGTAGAAACGTGACTGTAGGTCTTACTGGTCGACCCTCTTAGACTAGCAGACAACCTCGGGGGTGAGGATTCAGCATTTTCGTTTTATAGATTTTTACTATTTTAACGAGTATTGCTTACGAACATGACATGCATATTTTTTCTGCTGTTCTACTGTCGTGGACATGGAAATCTGGTCGCACGTCTAGCGGCCCCAGGGCGCTGGCAATGCAGCTATGGATAAGCAGTACACACATGCATGACATTATTATGCTGGTCACATCGGATCAACATGTGCACTGTTCTGTAGGCGCTGAGGGCGCCCGCCCCGGTCGATCAACTGGATTTCCATGTCCGCGACAGTACATCATATATTCGTACATACTACATACTGTATCCAGATCAGGAACGCTGTTTCCCCATTGCAAGGCAAAGTTTTCCCCTGACCCTGTGCAAGACAATCCATTATAAAACAATTTTTACCGAACCCCTCCTATACAAGACAACATGAAACATTGATCGAGCTACAAGAGCTAGAAAAAAACAAATCCAGATAAATCTTGTTTTCAAACTTTCCGCCTAGCTGCTGACAGGGGAACATTGGACCGTCCGGGCAATTTTGTAGTCCATGGTCATTGGCTTTGTATTGTAATGACTGGGAATCAAACCTGTGAGACAGCTAAAGGTGATTTTTATAATGAATTTTTCTACAAACGAATTGTCTCTTATCCGGATTTGCATATACTACCATTATACAAATGAGAGTCCATGCTCAGTAGAGTCCTCAAATAGAGCTATCTTACACACGACACAGAGCACTACGCATCATTCGTTGCCTATGGGCATGAAACAATAAGTTACAATGAATGATGCATGGTGCTCTGTGTCGTGTGTACTGCCATTACACAATGTACACATGGTGTCAGGGAATTTTAGATCGTTGTCTGCTAATGACGGTTGTCTTGTAACCTATGTCGTACTAACAACGTTAAATCTGCACTAGTACACTCATGTCTCTCTAACCCGGACCTCAAAGTTACGGGCACCTACACTGTAGGTATAGCAGTCACTCTGTGGGTGGGTTTTAGTGGTAATATTACTACTCATGTTTTGTGTCATGTGCCAGATCTCTGGCCCTTCCCCATGCAAACGTATGTGATTGAGAGCTAGGGGCCGTCCGTAAATACATGTTTTTACTTAGAGACGTCTGACAGGCGTTTCTTGTGGGTGGGTTCGCCTGCAAGGCGTTTCTAAAACAAACATTTCGGAGTGCATGCATACCATACCCCGCGTGTACATGTATATGTGCATGATAATATGGCATTGCTACAGCTAGTAGTACATGTATATGTGCATGATATGGCATTGCTACAGCTAGTAGTACAGGTAGGCGTTAAGACACACTACACTACACTGCACGCGTCAGGGACACATACCTGTTCACTATAAACATGATAACGGGTCAATTTTGAAAGGGTTCAAACAGGGACATGGACAAGGGTTTGCTATAAGTATCACGAAATTCGCTATATGTGAGTTTGTTATGAGTGGAGTCGACTGTACTGTATATGTGTGCATAGTATCAAGGGTATATATCCCCCGTAATATACTCTCGATAGTATGGTGTTGATTATGAGTGGTATTATCTGCAGTTTTTTGGGGGGGGGGCAGGGCATAGCTTAAGGATTTCATTTAGCTCGGACAAATGTCCTTCCGTTTTGAAATCTGTCCGGACATGCCCGGACATTTTCCACAACACATTTTCAGGGTGTTTCTTCTTTTTTTTAGCAGTACTGAAGTATATTCACAATGACTCATTATGTAGACGTATCTCACACATTACTATGTACAATTCGCCAATTTATTTGTATTAGAAACTGAACTATTTTACTGACGACTAATGTATGTACAAAAAAGCGTTGCAGTCAAGAATTTTGCGAACGCGATATGCTCCTTGCAGAGAAGGTAAGTCAGTTCGAATTTGCGTCGTGCAATAGCGGCAGCACCATCGTCCATCTTGCACAGTGCCTTCGCAATTGGAGCGAATTCGAGGGCATTTCGAGCGGGACACTCTTGCCTGCGGAAAAGATTCATTCCTCGTTTATGCATCTCCGTTCCAGCATGATCCTTGAATGCTGATGTTCTCAGGTTCTTGGATCCGGTTATGAAAGCCTCGCTGAAGTTTTTACAACTGCGGACTCTGTCTACAAACTTGATGCACACGGAACACTTCAAACATTCTGCTAACAGCCGATCGTTCTTCTGCCGGTCATAAATCAGCCAGGCGGAAGTAGTCAGCTCTGCATCATTGTCCGAGATCCACTTATCGCAAGTAGCGGCCTTCACACCACGGACTTTTTTGCCCGGCGGCAAGTCCTCTGAATCTCCCTTTCGCTTTCCAGAAGACATTCTAAAAGACTATCTGCATTCCTGGTCAGTGAAAGAGTGAAAATAAAAGATGACATCTTCCTCTCAAGAGCGAACAACTGCACTGCAGTTCAACCCATCGATTCAGGTGCGAAGTCGACACCATGTACCAAAGGTCGAAAGTGTGAATTGACTGTAGCAACCGCGTTGCTACAGGCGGATTATGGTGAAGTCTACGCCTGAGGGATCGAGGCTACGGTGGAGACGTGTTAGTTGTACGATATGCAAGTCGCATTTGGCACGAAGTTCCGAAGAAAGCCCAACTCTGCATAAAAAGGTCGAAAGGTCGCTGCTCTATTTTTTCCTTTTTTGACCGGACACTATGTCCGGTGAAATTGAAAACGTCCGGTCAGTGGCCGAAAATGGCCGGAAAATGTCCGATGTCCGGCCGTTAATCTATGCCCTGGGGGGGGGGGGGGGGAGGTGGGTGGGTCAAGAAAGAAACGCCTGTTAGACGTCTCTAAGTAAATACACGAAGAGAAAAAGCTTCGTTTATGGGTGGGTGGGTCAAGGGGAGTTTCATTTTGAAAAATATTGATATGTGAGACATCAAGGTATTCTTGCTGTCAAGTCCATCTATTTTTCGTTCGGGGGGGGGGGGGAGGGTCGTAACTAAACTTTTTTTCGTTTCTTGAAAATTATCGATAATGCCGGATAGCTCCTTCTGGACATTTCAGAGTTACGGACCATTCCAAGTTACAGGCGGTGTGTGGTCTGGGACCGCCCGGAAAAGAGAGGTACAATGTATGAGTGTGAAGTCGGCATGGAAACAAGCTTGAAATCTAAAAGAAATCAATAGTTAGGATTCAGCAAATTGAAAGAACCCTTATAAGCAGATACCGTAATTTCCGGAGGGTAAGCCGCACAGAGGTCTAAGCCGCACCCCCCCCCCCCCCCCCCTCTCCCCGTCGGGTCCAATATTTGTAGTGTTGTTGACATTCGGTATAAAAGCCGCACATCAGACTGAGGCTGTGTTTACATGAGAGTTTACAACCCGGGTCAAGTCCAGCCCGGGTTGAAAGTCTGTATGATAGACGAAATAGGTGAGCGTTAACATGAACACAGTTGACACTCAAATACTGATCTGCCGCCAAAATTCCACTTCTAGAGTCCTGTATGGTCACTTGAATACTTTCGCGCGAAATTTGCAGGTGCAGTGCTATTCAAATATGGCGCAAGATACGCACAGAAGTACGTTTGTACGATTTTCTCTTTTTTCCCTTACTCATACCAAGAGTACATAACCCCCAAGAGTGTGCAACTCCAGCTATGGGGTCTGCGGCAGAACTTCACATCGCGTGCCGAACCATTACACATTATTTGCACCCTTTGCATGATAGATGCAGAGTTGCACTGCTTTGGGTTCAACTCTCTTGTGGCCACCTTGCACTGTTTGCCAGCGTAACCTTTTGAACCATGTCACGTGATGTGAAGTTCTGCCGTCGCAAAAACTGCATAGAGGCTATGCAGGCAGTTGCACACTCCTGGGGTAATGTACTTTTTTTGCTCATACCTATGTCACGTATGTCCAGTCGGAGAAACGTGGTCATTGATATCTCACAGCGAACTACTTATAGCTGCTAAGCACCATAAGACATCATCAGTGGAATGTCCAGCACAGAATCCACTCTGGGTATTCGATACAAACCTATTCACAAGACCGCTTATTCAACGCAGTACGATCAATGACAGGACTTTGCGTAGTACGGTTGGATGCACAATGGGGCGGAAGGTCGAGACAGGTCCCGATGCCTTTCCTGGATGTTGCAAGAGAATCACTGACCCAAGGCCAATACTCCTCACGGGATACTTTGTTGGGTGGCTGAATTTAAGATCCATGTAATCTTGCCATGTACCACGGGCAGCGGGGCGTACTTGGCACTCACCGGGGTTTTTGTCAAGGCCAGTAGCGCCTCCATTATTGTGTCTCTCCGCTGCAGAAGTCATCTCTGCTTGGGAAATCGTCAGGCGAAGTCCTGGGTAGCCAATGTCAGCTGGGAAGGGGGGGGGGGCATTGCCACCCTACCGTGTTTCCACCCCAATACATAGCTTCTGCTGCTTCTTACACTGCTCTATCACTTGGCCTTGTTGGGTCTGCGCTGGCGTTAGCCTAAATGGGTTGCGAATAATGATGTATGACACAGGAAGCAAGAAGTCATTTGGCTCTGCCCTCACGCTGTTGAACACTTTTGAAAGTACCGTAAAGTACCGCCAGAGCGCCCCACCATCTCGTCCTTTCGTGGTCGTATTGTGGAGGTGATCTCCTGCCTGTTGGTCATACAACACGAACCTTGTACACATATAACGCGTTGTGCAGTCAATCCGTACTCAATTTACCTTCAAGCGGACACAAGCTCCACACAAAATCAGCAAAGTGTGACTTTAGTATACTAAGGTTCTCACACCGTACAAACTTCGTTTCACTCTGCCATTCGATTTTCCTTTCCCTGGCTGTAAAACCAAGATGGGGCGCTATCGCGAGCCGGGGCGCTCTGGTAGTACTTTACGATACATGTATTAGCAACTTGACTTGCAGTGCTGTTGCCAGAACTACTCTAAGAGACAGTGCTCTTATAGTATAGTGTCGACTATCCACACCACTCGGGGTGCGGGCTGTCTCTAGGGGGTTAGGATGAGAAGACTGTTTGGATAAGGGAGCAGTCACACATCTATCTAAAACATGCAAATTCCCGCATGTTTTCATCATTTTTCTTTCTCTTTGGCTGTATAGCAGAGACTAGGCGCACTTCAGCTCCTTACAATGACACTATCGTTGTACATTTTGACTCCAAACTGTTGTAATACATATTGTGCATCGCTTGAATGGTGCTCCGAGTGGGGGAAATCAGCAATAATCTCGAAAAAGCTGCTATGATCGAGCCCAATCCGGATACTCGATCATCCGGATAGTGGACGTCCAGGTAATCGGCATTCTACTGTATTCTTTAAAAACTAGAAGCCCTTCATGTGCCCCAGGTCACCAGTAGAGGCTTGGCTATTCTTATAACTCTTGATCAGGGTCACTATTAGAGACTGGGCTATTCATTACGATGTTGTATTCTGATGTGGTGTGTTTGGCGGATATGTTTGTGTTTGATGTGCCTCACAGTTATGGCAGCGGTGGATGTCAACCGGATCTTTCAGTACGCTATGGAGGATAAAGTGGAGGAGCTACAAGCAGAGATACTTGAAGATGGTGTTCTCAAAAAAGAAATCAAATTGCGAAATTTGGGTTTGAGCGGACCATTGTTGGTATGCAGAACTTTAGAATTGTGCTACAATCTGTCTGTATGGGCAAGTGCTGTCGCATGAGTGTCAGGCTGAGTGTGTGTACTTGGTCCGGCTCATCGCAATTGTCGCTTATCTCCCACTCGCTTTTTGACAGGTAAAACCCAGTCCAATCACGATATCTAACTTACTTTTGCTTGGGCGGTTGTGATGGCAAGATCAAATGAGGCACCAAAGAATAAATGATCGCGACTAGCGCTTTGAATCGCGATGCGTTCGACTTTTTTGGGAAGTGGAAACCTGGCCTTTCACTGTCTGTGTTGCCAAATGCCAAGTGCAGCGACCCGAAGACCGGAACTGTAGCAGGGGCAACTGACATCCTGGATCGCGTGACAGGCACGCGTGCACGGCAGAGGAGTAGATCTACGAGTATGAGCGTCATGCTGATGAAGAAAGGTGTTTTCGATCCGATGCGCGCATGCGAGGGACGTTTTGTTTGTTCCATTTGTTCCTTCGTGGACCTGGCAGCAGCATTACAAGAATCGTCTCAGCGTATCCAGTGGAGCGTATGACAGCTGTCTGGAGAGGCATGTGTGCGGCATTCGAAGGCTCTGTTGAAAAACACTGTGGTGACACACAGGTAACACTGCCCACGATTCCTTCAAGGACCGAAGTGACAGACACAACTGTTCCTTTCCCATTGCTGCCATACGACAGGCTGACAAAGTAAGAGATACTCTACCAGTCTACGCCAGCAGCTAGACACCATCAATCTAGTGTCAGCTCATGTAACGGCAGCTCGAGTGATGGAGAGTTGAATGAACTCTGGACCTGTAAGAGTGTGAGTGCAAAAACGCGCTCCTTCGCTGATTTGTTTCGAGCGTTTTTGCTTACCTTGCTTCCCTTCTATGACTCGCTTCACCTGATTCCATGGCTGAATTATTTTTCTTGTCGCGGAGAGTATTCATGTGTCATGCTTCCTCACTATGCCTATTGAAAATTTCACAGAGCGGCAACAAAACGCCTGTTCTTAGTGGCGATAGATAAGCGACAATTGCGATGAGCCGGACCAAGTATGTGTTTATGTGTGCGTGCGTGCGTGCGTGCGTGTGTGTGTGTGTGTGTGTGTGTGTGTGTGTGTGTGTGTGCGTGCGTGTGTGTGTGTGCGTGTGTGTGTGTGTGTGTATGTGCGCGCATATACTGTATGTCGACAAATTTTCGGCCCATTCAAATTTCGGCCTCCCAGGGCATCAAATTTTCAGCCTGTCCTGCTGTCGCCTGTATACACTGTCACACTGAACTTTGCAAAACAAATTTTCGGTCAAACATGACCAGGCCGAAAATAGCCGGAAATAAATATGCGCCGAATATTATTACAGTACGTGTGTGTGTGTGTGTGAAAAAGAGAGAGAGAGAGTGTGTGTGTGTGTGTGTGTGTGTGTGTGCGTGCGTGTGCACATGTATATGTGTGCAAGGGTGTGTGCGTGTGTGTGTGTGTGTGTGTGTGTGTGTGTGTGTCCCTTGTACTGGTGGGGGACGGTTTGCCTTTTCGAGCTTCAATTTTTCTCTGTCCTAAACCTTTCAGTGGGCTCTCTCCCAGCCAAAGGCAGCCTTCCCCGGGCCGCCTCAAGGCTAGCAAATCGCTTTCAACGAGGGGACCGACACAGCTAAAGGACGGGGCGACGTTTGATGCCGTCACCTTTGACGGCGCCCTTCATCATCAGTCGCGGAGGTTTGACAAGCCCCCGAGTGGATTCCATCACTCGCCATGAAATTTGTTGAAGAGAGGAGAGAGAGAAGGGGACGCCACCTGTTGTGTTTTGGATGCTGGATCGTCAGATACCAGGTGGAGCAAGACGAAGCCATTGAGACGGCAATCGTTTCTGGCCAAGTAGTCGAAAACAAAACAAAAATGATCGTTTAGTTTCGGAACTAGAGAGGTATGCTATCGCGGCAGCAGGCCTGCAGGGAACTCACTGGTTTGGACCGGAAAGCTACGTCGTGGACGGTGTCTCTATTCTCAACTCTAGCTGTCCATCTCCTGGCGCAGATGACTCTCGCCGCCGTGGAGAAGTAGTCGCAATTGTTTTGGATTGTTGCGCTGCGGGTGCCTGGAGGGTGGGTGGCTGCGTCTGGAAGGCGGTGACTTCTCGTGTTGCATCGGCCTGCTTACAGCTCGGTCTCGTTGATGGGTCACCTAAGAGTTCCACTCTGATCTGTGCCTACTTAAGCAGCTAGTCGTACTGTGAAAGAAAAATTTCTTTGACGATCTCCAAAGTGTTTTGTACGACGTTCCACCATCTAATTGTTGTATCGTACTGTTCGATTTCAACGCACGCGTCGGTTCAGGACAATGGGGCGATGAGTGGCCCGATGTGCGAGTCACTCACAGGTATAACAACATGAATACATCAGGAGCTGAGCTACTGGCATTTGCTGCATTCAATCAATTGTGTACAGTCCGTATCGCCTATAAGGTTGGCGGCTATAGTAATATACCGGCTATAGCGATCAATTTCTCAAATTGATTTTCTTTTGCTATAACTAAGTATACACAGTTATCGCGTATAGTAATAATCCTCTATAGTAAGATATCGCCTATAGTGATCAAATTCTTATTTCAAAAGACCTTTATTACATTATTTTGCATTGGTTATAGTGATTGATGTAAAATCAAGTGGTGTCAGAGGAGAACAGGATGTTAGTAGTCACTGTAACGTCTTCATGAAGAACTACTTGTCCAGTGTTGTTTGGTGAGTTCTGCTTGTACACGTTGACCCAACATGCCTCCATCATGAGGAAATGCTGATGTTGTGTGTCAGGAGCTGTAGCCAGCTATGCAGTGCGTACATGATGTATGTGCAAGGCGCGCTGAGTCATTTGACACCCCGCTCGCATACATAGCATGCAGTATCAGTCATAGTTATAATCGCTTATAGTGATGAAATGCTCCAAATCAAACACCAACGCTATCGGCGATACTGACTGTATATGCAACACCTGTTTCCCTAAACGGAACATTTTTAAACAGACCTGGCAGCACCTAGCCTCCTAGGCACGCTGCAGTGGCACTGCATAGATTCCATACTTGTGCGGCAGGACGACCGCCATCTATGTACATAAGTGGCTGTCATAAGGAGTGCTGAATGCGGCAGCGACTTTCAGCTGCTGTAATATGGCTATGCAGCTGCAGTCGCCGGTGTGGCGCGGAGCGCAGAGCAAAGGTAGTGTCGAGCGCCAGTTTGATGTCGCACAGCTAAATGATCATCGCATGTCTTCCCATGAAGATCCTACGTCTACCGATATATATACCCCCGGTGGATTGAATGTGCTGTTTTAAAAGGACCTCCGCTCACGAGACCTTGAAGCGGACAGGTACAGAGTTGTATGTGATTCTCGCCCAGACTGGAGGTTGGCTTACACCTCGGACGCCCCAGATATCCCCATACCCGCACCGGTGACTTGCTGCGTAAGCTCCTGGCACTAGGCGTGTCAGGGCGACCTTTCCAGACGACCTTGCCAGGCACAACTGCACGGTTGAATGGCAGAAGCAAGTTTCAGAGCAGAAAGGTACATGTCAGTGACCTCGGTGTCATCTTTGGTTCGGGAGCGGTGGTTTCTTGGCTGTGCATTGTTACCCCACTATTATCCCATGTCCAGCGCCGATCGCATCATCTGCTGCTGCCACCATTGCTACTACACCTCAAAGTTGCTGCAAATGTTCACTGTAACATTTGCAATCTAGAGACGCAATCGTCATTGCTGTTTGATGCTCTGCAATCGTCCAACAGCAAGAAAACGGGATAAGTTCCCGCATATATATGTATGTGCTCTCGTCGTTTACCACTGGTCTTGCATCTGCAGTGCTAGCAGGTGGTGTGCTTCTTCTCCCTTTGCTGCCCGTCTGGAGCCCACTTGACCCTAGTGATAGTGGCTCTACAGGACTGGGCAGGTGTGTGTGTGTGTGTGTGTGTGTGTGTGTGTGTGTGTGTGAGTGCGTGCATGCGTGTGTGCGCGCGTGCGTGTGTGCGTGTGCGTGGTGTAATGCTGAGTGTGGAGAGGAAGGTTTGCTTTTTGTGAGCTCCTTCTTCAGGATGTTGTAGCCACCCTAAGCAGCCGTGTGGTGTAGACCAGGCCATGGTTGTGGTGGCCCACTAGGTAGCCGTGCAAGTTGCCTGGTGGATTTCGAACAACACGCTGCACAAGACGAGTGGAGCGGTATTTTGAATTTGAATTTTCGAAATGGTGGCGAAAAGAAGGAGTGTCGGGAAAGGGAACGTTCTGGCTGCTCTGACGTGGAATGTTCGCTCTCTGGTGGAGGATAGTGAGGACGTTAAGACTTGTAGAGGACGTACATCTGTCGGTGACGGGCCTGTCGACAGGAAGCTCGATATTCTTTCAAACGAACTACGCAATTTCGATCTCGATGTGGCTGGTGTACAGGAGACATGCTGGTTTTGGGAACTACGTTTGGCCTGTCAGTGGTGGTGGCGTTTTTCTCCACTCTGGACGTGCCTTGCCCGGCGAAGGTGAGCCTAGACGACGGAATGAAGGCATGGGAATATTGTTGAATGCGAAGGCGACCGAGTTGTGGCGGCGCAGTGGCGAGGAATGGAAAGCTATCAGTTTGCGCATTGTAACTGCACGGATTCTAGTCGGAGCGAAGGGCTACAAGATACGACAGGGTAGCAATCTCAAGCTTCTTCGTGACAGTCGTCAGCACCTACGCTCCAACAAGCCAGGCCACCCCGGCAGTCAATGATCATTTCTTCAGTGATCTACAGTCAGTTATGAGCACAGTCGATTCTGGCGATATTCTGCTACTCTTAGCGGATTTCAATGCTCGTGTTGGTTCATCATGCGACCTGATGTTTGGTGATGTTGCTCGTTTCGATGACATGCGTGGCGACGGTGATGGCTGGAGTCGTGTGCGTGGGCGGTATGGCTTTGGATTCTGCAATGAGGCTGGGGAAAACTTCCTGTCGGTTTGCACAATCGATGATCTGTCCAAAAATAATAAAAAT